ATTTTATTTCCTTACTCCTACTCTTTACTCCAGCTTACTCCAAGTATTGTAGACCAGCCTTTATTACAATTCTTCTCTTGCAACGATTTTTTTGGACGCTCGGATAAAACGCGTTTGAAGTACTATGGTAAGTAGCACGTGCCTTGAGTAAATGAGCCTATGTAGGACAGTAGAATGGAGACAACGCGTCGGAATCGCATGGAAAGGATAAAAGTTATTCCGGTGTAAATATCAGGTCACCGCTATTTCACCGTTATTCTTAAAACGAAGCGATTGTCATACTACGTCTATCATCTTGCCTCACCACCGTGACAAATACATTTAGCAGATTATCAGTATTACTTTCAAATTTTGCTATTTGCGCGTAAAACTCTATATCTGACGACAATAAAGAAGATAGCTTGCGATTATAATCATTTCAAAACATATCAGGTTGAAATATTTAATGCTCCGTCATATTTGAATCTAAATACCGTGTAAATACATAGATTACATAGATTTGAATAATTATTATCTAACGTAGCTCTCAAAATAAAATTTCAATTATGTTAAAGCAAAATAACATAGAATTACAGATTATTGGTGAAAGAAGTCAGGTTTTATTCCGATATTGCACATTATAATTTTTATTAAGAATTTTTCCAAAATTATCTAACCGCTGTATCATTTTTTTTTTTAATTTTATTCATTGTTTTTATTCAGCCTTTTATATTCTATTTAGTTTTGCCAATTATTTTTATATTTACTTTTTTATGTATTTCATCTATTATATTCTAACTCTTTCTTCGCTATTATTATTTCATTTATTTTACGAGTGATGAAGACTTTGCGTGGTTCGAAACGTTCCACTAATTTTCTTGATTAAAAAATAATAAATTATATTATTCATATAATAGCATTTTCATCGCTCGTTTATCGACCCACGACGTTTCCACAAAATTAATTATATTAAATTTAGATTGCCAAAGTTTTATTTAGTAACCATATTCGAGTCGGTTTTAATTAATTGGTCAAAGAGTTTCTCTTTCTGTGTAAATATATATGATTCTACGTAAATACTTTTCTTTTTGCCGCGACTAACAATAAGTTTCTCACTGACTTGCACTCATCGGCTTTTGTTCGTATGTAGTTCAGCACGTGATTTTCAATGTTCGGGGTTTCGCCTACGCCATAAGAAAAGTAGATAATCAGGGCATAAGTAGAAGAGAAAAGGTACACAGCGGACTCGCCTTCTTTTACATGCCTGCTCGCTGGGTACTCCCGTTACTTCACGGAATTGTGGGAAATTGGGTACTGAGCCGAGCTAATTAAACGCACTGGCCTTTTGTTTTCAAGGTGCGATACGTGTGAGCCGTACGTGCGCGAAGCTGCGATTAGTTCCATAATACGACGGAAGTGCATGCACTTGTCACGAGAACCAACAATTCTGTCGATAATTCTGAGAGTCAAAAGCTGATTATACCGTTTCTAAGTAATATTAGGTGGTGAACAATGGTTAAAAAGCGTATAATTGAGACATCTCTGAAATCATCATTAGAAATGTCTCATTAGAAAGAATCAATAGAATATGATACTCAGCGCTGGTAATTATTTTTATTTAATTTAAAAAATCTTATATATAATAACGTTAATAATTGTGTAAGTATTGGCAAACAATAAAAGCTTGATATAAAATAGATTACTCGTAACATTCGTAAATGAGAATCTTCTAAAAGCGTTTGCTTTTTTAATTCAAACTGCGTGTCTAAGCTTGCAGCAGATTCTAAGTCTAGCGCTGATGATATTATTTAGCAAGTCGAATGTAGTTGGTAATGTCGTGATGTCATGTTTATAACTTCATCATATCTCTCGTGCATTCTAAAACATGGATATGTCATTGTTTTAATAAGTGCATATAGCGGAGATCTGTCAATTGCTCGTTGTTTATTAATTTAGATTTTGTTGGAAAAATATGAATATGTGAAATGATGAATATCTGTCAACGACGAGCGATTGAATCGATAAAACAATGAGTAATGATGAAACCTGCTCGCGTCTTAGTTGATACCCGACACCAATCGATTTAACGATAAGGACAGCATCGATCTTTTGTAGTTTCAACAGGAAACGGCACGTACTCGAGAGGACAATAACTGGATATGACTCAACGGCAATTGGCAGAAGGCAGCTGGTCGAGAACGTGCGGTTAGAGGAAGCATTTGAAGAGCGTGCGGGAGAAAAAAGAAGAGTTTGACGCGCACGGCGACACGTGGGAAATGCAAGTAACCGTCACTTTAATGCGAGAGACAATCTCGGTCATTAACCTACGGAAGTAGTCTCGTACGTGTTAGAATAAAATGTAAAATTGAGAAACGACGAGAGGACCTACTCTTCGTGTCTCCAACCTCGACCAGTCGCTGTTAGAGGACCGTAGAAGCTTTGCACCGAAAGAAACAAAAACTTAAAACATAATGTAGACCTGCGATAAAAGTGGGAGCTTTTAGAGCTAATGGATCTCTCGCATCGCATTGCCAAATCAATCAATAAAGAATTATAAAAAATTACCACTGTCGAACTAATCGTAAATCAAAGCCGATATGAAAGTACATTTGAAAGTTGTTAAATTACAGTGGAGTAAATAAAGTATCTGTTCTTCGAGTATACGAGTCCTGCGAAATTCAATATATATGTTCCGTGCCATTATAAAAGGCTATTATAAAAATTATGCATTTCGCGAGAGTGTGCTGCGGGTAAATGGGCAAACGACTTTCCTCGCGACAGCGATCGAGCGATAGTCGTTTGCTACGAATCTTCGTGAATTTCTCACGCGTTATTGCCGCGTTAAAACCGCTCCGCCAGCCACTTTCCACGCCGTGGAAAAACGTGCGAGGAACGTGGAAAGTCGATTTACCCGCGTGCGCGATGGAGATGAGAATGCGTGCTGCGTGAGTACGCCACGTCTCATTTACGAGACGCGCGTTTATGCGTGCAACGACGAGCACGTGCCCCTCCAGAGCGAGTGTCTTGCAGCTAACACGACGTTGAAGAACTATTCCGCTTAGCCGGACGGGAGATAGAAATTGAATCTACGGACGGACTATCTCGCAGAATAACCGCGAGCCAGCGCGATCGGCATTAAATTGAGAGAATTTCTACGGAGTAACTAGTTTTTCTAAAGATATTTTTAATCCAGCACTAATTAAATTGGAGCCACTTTGCCGGTTACCAGCCGCGTTATCATTTAAATGATCCTTAATGCAGATCCGGTTTAACGTCACGGATGCTGATGCCGAGTGAAATTTTAAATCAGATAAAGAAGAATCGGTGTGTATCCTCTCACGAAATACGCACGGACTATAATGCGCGCACATTACATACATCATGCGCTAATTGACGAGTAAGCTTCGTTTATTTTCAGATACTTCTCGTCAGCGAATTGCATATGTAAACGAGTGCTTCGGTAATCCGTTGTTAAGTTCAATACCGCCGCGAGCGTGGGATGATCTTGACCCCGAATTGAATCGCACGCGCGATATCTATCAGTCATCATAGAGGAAAATTATGTCTATCGCGTTACGCGTACGTCTGAAAGATCCGATCATCTACTGCTTATTTAAGCACATAAAATTTGCATAAGTTACATTTTTTCACGACGCGAATAAAGTTATTATTTTAAAAGGTGAACAGACTTTTCTATTTTGGAAATCAGCTTCGTCCATTTTATAAAAGCCCTCAAATTTATACGCGATGTCACAATCTGCTCGTAAATACATAACTCGAACGAAATTCGAAAGTTGGCACTAATAATTTAGAAGATCGTATACAATTAATTTATAACGTTCGATTAAGCGCCGTATTGTATATACGCATGCTTGATTAGCGGTAGTTTCGTCGCCGGTTCCGCAAAATCGAGCGTCTCAATGATACGTAAAGTAGAGAATGTCGTTACGAACTACAGGCATTGTCTCATAATCAGTCGACTCATTAAATATCTTGGCGTATAGAAAGCGACAAGTGAATGGGGTGCAGTAACGATTACTATAATCTCCCTAGTGCGTTAATGAGCCATTATATTTGCCACGGGAGATTAATCCATCTTTACACGAAATGCCTATCGGCTATATTGAAGATTTCTAAAAAGATATCCAATTACGTTTTATGGAAAATTCATAACGAAGCGTTACACAAAGGCGCGATTAAGGTAATCATGAAAATGACCGATTTTATATCGCGCTTTATTTTATGCAATACAAAGACGCGATCTTTCTTCTTCATTTGTAACAATAAAACACATACATATGTAGTGGATGATCCTTCAAAGGATCCTTCGAACGAGCGGTCGAATGGTCCGAGCCGAAAACCGAAAAGGACGTAAGAACGCGCGGTAAAACACGATAAAGATCTTTTCTATTGTGGATATGGGTATATATATTCCTGCGTTATAAAAGAGAGTGGACAAATCGATCGCACAATAGAAAAGAGACCTTTATCGTGTTTTACCGCGCGTTCTTACGTCCTTTTCGGTTTTCGGTTATATGTATAATTTTTATTAGCCAAACTTCAGGCATTTATTTATTTAATTATTCTCTCCGAATTAACATTTTTTACAGTAGGAAATTAGAGTTATCTCTCTATTATTGTATATATTTACGTTAATTTAAATTATAGTTTAGTTATTATGATTTTTATTATGTGTCGCACATGCAAAATCTGTGTATTGAAAATTATCTATTTAACCAAATTATATTGTCACGTATTCAGAGAGATTACGGTGACATTGAGATGTCTATTTATGAGTTTATTGTTTACATATATGTGAAATATATCATTTTTGCACGTATTTTTATTTAAGTATCTTTGAAAACTTTATTATCGCAAACGCTCAAAAATATTCCTCCCGATATAACTTAACAAGTTTTTACACAACAACCACTTAACACTATATCGTTATTTATATCGATAACCGATTACTGAGGATTAAGAAGAATTCACGCACCTTTGGCGGCCAGAACGATGAAAAGGAGGAAAATTGTCCTGCGTTCCATTTCGGCGAGCGCGAACTCCTCCGCGTGAACCCCGGCCTGGAATGTCCTCTCAGGAAACTGTCGTACCGGAAAATGTCCTTCCGGAAAACTATCGAGGAGGCTGTTCCGATTCGAAACAGCAATCAATATGTCCGCACTCCGTTAGAAAAGTTCACCGAATGCACCTCAGAGAAAACATCATTTTGGGGCGCGAGCGACCCTCTCTTCAGTTTTCTTTCCGAGCACTGAACGCGATCGCCCGTTCGAATCGGAGAATCGAGTAAACGCGCGTGCGAACTTGTGTTCCCCCCCGAGGTATCTTCGAACGGGGTTAATGTGACAATAAACGATGGTGCTGGTGCGTCCACCGATGGAACTCGTGGACGGAGTCTCTCGTAGACCGGCGTCGGACGTTCTTGCCTGAGGACTGAAGCGCTAGTTCCCCGGCAGGAAGTCATCCAGGTATTCTGCTCCCCCACCTGTCGTTCTCTGGCTACCACCACTTCAGCAGGTAACGACCGCTGTGCCGGTTGCCATCAGGAACGAGGCTGGCCTGTGCGACTGACTGACTGTTCATCCCCTCTTCTACTTACGCGCCTCTCCTCCGGTATTCAGGCCAACCTGCGAGCCAACACGTCACCGAGTAGCAAGAACACGATCCCTTGGGATTTGATATGGTTGTTTTTTATACGGAAGAAATTTTTGACCGGTCTTTTTCAGATTCCTTTCCGGAAAGGGATTATATTGTAGTAGATTCATCTCTTCGGTTGTAATTACCTGTAGTTACAAATAAAAGCAGAATACACGTGGTTTGTAAATAATAAAGTTGCGTATTATATCTCTTATCTTTAAATATTTTTCTTCAAAGCACCAGTTTTTGTTTCGAGCTTTTTATAGTCACTGAATTTATAACGTGACCAATGCTCTGTAATTAATAAATTCAATACTTTGTCTAATTAGAATTAGATTTAATTATAATTTGTAATTGCATATTAATAACGATTATAAAAAAAGTGTTGCTGATGACGAAGTGCTATGCGTAGCTTACCGCTTACGTGCATCGTAACACGTTGCCGTTACGGTAAAATGTCGAAAACGTCTAATCCGAGTCGTTATAACTAGCGTTTTACGTCAAAGTTAATTCCAAGGATTACGGGTATCTCCCAGATCCGCATAATTTCTAACGTTTCTATTCCGCACGATAATTGATAATTACCAGCATACAACCGTCATACGGGATATAATTGTGGTTTCGCAGGGCGAAGTGCGTCGCTCGACATGGGACCGTAGAAATGGAAACAAGGTATCTCGGGGGAAATAATATATGCAGAGTTCCTGCAAGAGTGCGCGCAATTGTGAAAACCCGTGGAAATTCTACGGCAATTTGTAGCAATGTACTCGCGATTGAGAACAATATGTGTATAATTTTGCGAAAAGCACAAGTGGGGCCGTAATTTGTACATACGTAAGTAACGTACGAATTATTTTGCAACGCGACAAATTAAATAAATCGCGGAAGAAAGACATTTCTTGCAAAATATACAATGCAACAGAATCAGCAATCTTTATAAGCAGTCAAAATGTTTTTAATATTTGTATAAAGCGTTTACTTGAAGTCTACTCTTACATTTTTTATTTTTAACGTTAAAAGATGCACCTTAAAATATTTTCCAAATTTTATGTAGATACATGTAAATATAATAGTGAATTCAGCAGTTTGCACCAGTACGCATTGAGTGCGCACTAAGGCTTGTTTACAGTCATTTCTTATATTTAAGGATTCTCTTAAATATTCTTTTTAAATACTTCTTAGCCAGTAAAATAATCCGTATAGCATTTGTACGGATCATTTGTTTGGCTAAATAGTTTTTGGACACGATAAATATAATAGTGGATTCTGAGCAAGCCTTGGTGTGCACTCAGTGCGCATTAGTGCAACCTGCCGAATTCGCTGTAAAATATAATAATGTATACACGTGAGACATTTCCAAGAATTTTATGAGTTTTTAAAATGCCATGTTTGTCCCACACTATAAAAAGAAATATATAAAATATAGCAATTACACTATTAATAATTACGGAAATATATAAATGTATACACAATACTTTTACCAAAAAAATTTTGTTACTCTTTGTTGTGTAAATACTTGTTTATACACGATGAAAAATTTCAAAAATATAAAATTTACACAATTAAAAGCAAGCAGTTTACTTATTACACAAGGTAATAATTTTACTTGCAAGGAGTAAATTTACTGACGTATGTAAATATACACCTTTAATAGATGGTCTCAATATTACCCACTATAATATTTGTAATTTTACATGTAATATTTTTACAGTGCACGATTACATGATTTTCAGGGTAAATTTTAAGAAAAAGTTCTCTCCCCGTGTAGTTTCGGTTTTGATGTAGCGCGCATTCTGTTATTTCTTCACAGATCAGAAAGAACCTAAATTCTATGCAGGTGCTCGAGCAGGTAGGACTAGAGACGGAGGGAGTCAACGAACCGCGTCACCCTAAACTCGCTTGCCTAACCCTCAGAGTTTCCTCGTCCGGGTTTATGGTTTCTTCGTGATGCTAACTATAAGGAGCGTCCATAATTCTATCTTTACCGAGCGCCTCATGCGTGCTGATCAACACAACCATGAAATTTAATAGTCTACGTGCAGTCTTAAAAGTGTTCCACGTCGGGATTTATTTTTGCTCCAGCGAGCATCGCTAAAGACTTTGAAAAAATTAAAAAACAGAAGAAACTCTCTTTATTTTTTTTGCGCGTTTACACGACGCAAAAAAAATAATTATTCTCACTTAATTCGAAAATATTTCTTTTGACAACAGGAAGGACAAAATATCTTTGTTTCCAAATAAATGGAAGACTACGTGATTTTTCGAATAATTTCACGAGGAGGTCAAACAAATTTTCGAAGCTCGATGGACTGTTTGTATATTCGTGTAATATCTTGTATTTATAACAATTGATAGCAGTTTGGTGACGCCAGTCAAGAATTTAAATAAATGTGAGACGAATCTTACATAAAATACAACGAATCTTACATTTGTAGGCACTCTTGTAAGTTTGTTACCTGAAGAGGACCAGTATTACTGGCCGAAACGTCGTATTTTATTATAATAAAGAATAGGGTTGTAAAGTGAATTTTGAAAAAAAAATAATTATCATTTTTATCAACTCTGATATAGATAATAATTATTGCAACAAAAAAAAATTTTTTTTATATTATATTTTCCTGTAAAATGAGCTTTAAAGTTCAATAAAAATTTCAAATATAGTCACGTGATCTGAAACGGCACGTTATTGGTGTGACGTCATGATGCGAGCGCCCGTCTGCGCGCGCGTTCAATCAGTGTATTTCCAACCTCAACTTCATGACAGATTCTTGAGTATCAGTATAAGAATGGCAAATAAACTTGAATCCGGCTTTGTAAAAGCCGATGCACGTAATCTGCCACGAATTGATATGTTTATGATATTAGATTTTATTAAAAAAAGTGACAACTTTAACTGTGGAGAAGTACGCAATGTAAAATTAGCAGCGTAAGTATATGAAACTCACCTTTCGTTCGACTACTTCTTTATACTTCTTTTTGATTATTAATCTGATGAAAAGAAAATCTATACCTATTTTTGTAGATCATCTCGAACAAGCTATGGAGATCAAGCGATAGGTTATGTGTGTCTCAAAAGAGACGGAGAGATCTGCGAGTCACGCCACGAGAATCATCCGCTCCCCATGCGACCATATGCTACCGAACTTCGGCTCCATTCGGCGCTCGCATCGTGACGTCACGAACTGTTCGGTTCTTTCCGGAACGTTCGAATACAGCTTCGCGGGTCCGATTATTTAACAAGCCATAACTTGTTAAATAATTGAGAAAAAAAATTGGGGAAAAAATTTGTATCATAAACTCATATACATAGATTAAAATTCCGTTAAAAAAAAATTGCTTTACAACCCTATTGCCAGTAAGATCGTTTCCACGCTTATTTAAATTTTTGTATTTATATTCATAACCCTTTTCTTATGAGAGAGAATAGCAATGAATAAGTCGAAAGCTACGTAACCGGGTTCTTGCTGCGACGCATAGCTTGTCCGCCGCATTCCATGCCTCTCGATCAAGAGAGGTCGCGATCGATTATTCAATTAGAAACTAAATGTGCGAGCATGCGACCAGCATCGTCTACGCGCGCGCATCGCCGCCGCATGCGGTCGCATGCGTTGCATTCATGCCGGCTGCTTTACGACGCGCTGCATCGAGGCAGCCACGCGCGAGGGATTCTCGATTACTTTACCTCTTGTTTATTCTACTTTGCGGTAGAGCGGATACTCGACCGATAGCAAAACAAGGATCAAAATACTGGCCACTTGTTCGATGCAGAAAACGCGACGCGCGCGAGGAAGGCGTTCGGAGCGCGCGCACTTCGCGACATATTTAATGCCGCGCATTAAAGTCTCCGTGAAGAGCCGAGATCCGAACGAATGTTCTCCGCTAGAGCAGGTGCATTACGATTTGAATGTTATTGAATGTTTCTTACAAGTATACTTGCGAATATTTATTTTCGTGTGAAAATGTAAACATAATTATGTACTTTTTTCTAAAATAAAGACATTTACGTACAATCTTATTCGATACCTAAGAGATAAGTACGTACCTACTTAAATAAAAATACTGTTTTCAAATATCGCTGAATTATTCAACATTGAATCTTGACCGGTCATTTCTCGACGCGTACACGCTGCAATGTGGATCGCATCGGATTAACCGTGTGATACTCGATGGAGCCGACTCGAGCTACTTTGTGCCGGTCGCGGAACCGAGTGCAGGGCGTTATCTCCGCGGTCATCTTTACGAGGCATGTATCCGTACAAAGTATCGAATCGAAAAGTAGCGAGGCCAGATTTGGTAGAAGGTGGAAATTCGGCGCGACGAAAGCTAGCGGTGTGTGTCGCTTCACGAGTCAACCTCGAATCGAGTCACTTGTTAGTAACGCCGGCTTCTTGACCCACATACCGCGACCGCCATATAACAAACGTAACACTTTGCGGCCGCGTGTGCACTCACGGACGGGCACACGAATGCATCGAACACGTCCGTGGCGCGTATAAATGTGTGCGCCACACGCATACACGCAGCACACATCTCGCGCGACTGCTTCGTCGTGTAGGATCAGGTTTTCATTCCCGACGATTCTCTTAGACTCAAAAAATTACGATTTTTAAATTCAAGTTGGACGAGCCACGGCATATAAGTTACCTTGCGTTCATTTAAAAGACATTAGCAATCCTTATTATTAGAGGGAGAGCAATTATTAAATATTTTGCGCTACGAGTAAAATAGCAGTATCTAAAAAAAATCAAATATCATCGCGTGAACACAACTGCAATACGCATTACACCACCTTAAACGTTCGTAGCGGATAATTATCAGAGGAAAAGTAATTAGTTTGTTATTTATTACAGCTATTATATTCACTCGCGCGCGAGATGTGTGAGCAAATGTTCTTATCGCACTCTCCGCGCGTATATGTGTGAGAAATTAAATTGGCAAAGCGACCAACGATAAAAGAGCACACAACTCCACGTACGAGTTGCTCGTAGTAATTAGCCACTACGGATTTGCACAAAATGAGTATTACGCGTGAATTATCTTGCGGTACTTTTCCACAACTTTACACGAGGAATTTCCTTTCGTCAGTTCACGCGTTTCGTACATACGATACGTCGGTTTCTTGAAAGTAGTTACGGTATTGTTCCTGGAACAATTATTGTATCTTCTGCAGAATTTATAAAGGGAGAAAATTAAGTAATTTGTACCTTGTTTTATATCGTTAGCGTTGTTACATGCAAAGAGAAAGGGGGAAAGATAGCCAGATGATACTGCCGCTACAATTTTAAGTATAGCTTCCTCGCAAAATATCTATTAGAGGCGCGAAACTTTCCTTATTACATGCTTCCTTATTGTATAAATCGCCACGGTCCTCATCGCTCGATATCTCGTCATTTTGGATCGCGGAACAAGTCGAGATACAATTTTTATCATCTTAATCTTTCTAGCCGCCAGCGAAACGATCGCCATATAAGGAAACTTCCTGCCGCGTGATCTAGACACGTCGTAACTGCAGCAACTATTTCAACTTTTCTCTCTTACCTTTCACCTCGACCGTCAAGCCTCGCAATGACGACTGAATTCCACGAGTTCTCTCTCTTTCCACTCCGCGTCATCAACTCTTTGATTGAGCGCGTTATTAAACTTTCGAAGAGCTCGTTGAATAATCGGAAGATCTGACAATGCGAATAACGACGAGTTCATTGACCGACGTGTTCTAATCCGGTAGAACCGAATACAAGTTCCTCCGCTAGTCGTATTGGGGAAGCCAATAACTGTGGATTATGCAACGTCTCGTCCGGATGGATACTATGTAGTGCGTTCCTCGCCACGTAGATCTCAACAGGTATTTTAAAGCGACTAAAAAGCTTTTAACGTTTGTGCGTTGGCCCGATGGCCGCGCACGCGCGGGTCGCGCCCCCCTTGGTGCTTCATTGTTTTCCTGTTGCGTAGAGACTCAACAGTGCGACAATTTTTCTGTGCAATTTTCTCTTAATATTCTTAGCCCTTTTTCAGTCCATAATGGGGAAGTCAACTCACAAATCGAAGAAACGGAAGAGGTCGTCATCGAGGGATCGGCTAGCGGGTATCGAAAGAATGCAGGTCGGTCCTGAAGAATAACTCCATGGTTAAGAGGGACGATCATAGCTGCGAAAATCAAAATCAGGCAGGCGCGGCGTTGTATGCCTTGGGCGAGGCCATCTCTGATTTCTTGAAGCCTGAGACACAACCCTCTCTGAGTCCTGAGGTTCGTGGGGCAGTCGCCAAGGTCAATGAAGGTGCCACGATACTGGCAGACCTCTTTTATCGTCTCTCACAGTCTCGGAGGGCCCAGATTAAACCGGCGGACAATTTCCTGTTTGGTGCGGCTTTTGGAGAGGAATTTAAGAAGGCCTCTTCGATGGAAAAGTCCTCCAGAAGCCTTATAAAACCGTCTTTGACGGTGTCAAAGAGAGTGCAGCAACCAATTAAAGGTCCAGTACAGAGGGATTGCACCACTTCGGAAAACTCCCGCGCCCCTGCCCAGAAGACGAGACCGAAGGCGACGAGGAGGTCAGGGGCATCGAGCAGCAGACGCCAGTCGCCAGTGCAGTCCAGGTCTCGATTCAGGAGACGTTAAACAACACGCAGGTACAAATTGCGGGGAGACTATCTCATTTCTTTTCTAAATGGAAAGAGATCATCTCGGACCCGATAATCCTGCAAACCATCAGGGGCTATCGACTGCCTTTTAAATCTCATCCACCTGACCAAACTACTGAACCGACAGTTCGCCTGTCAAAATCTGAAGAGCAGATCTGCCTCTCAAAAATTTCCAGACTTCTCAATACTAGGGCAATAGAAATTGTATCGGAATGTCAGGGTCAGTTTGTGTCCCCTTTCTTCGTGATTAAGAAATCTTCAGGTGGTTGGAGATTTATTTTAAACCTTAAATACCTTAACAGGTTTATTAACGCTTCACACTTCAAGTTGGAGGACTAGAGGACAGTGGTCCGCCTTCTCTCGCCCCACGATTTCCTGGCTTCAATAGATTTGCAGGATGCCTATTTTCCAGTGCCAATTGCCCAGGAGGATAGAAAATATCTGCGTTTTCGCTTCCGAAACCAGCTCTTCCAATTTAAGGTCCTACCGTTCGGACTCGCCTCAGCTCCGTACATCTTTACGAAGCTGTTGAAGCCGGCAATGTTCTCTCTTAGGGAGAAGGGCTTCCTGTCAGTCGTTTACCTGGACGATTTTCTTCTTATTGCACCCTCTCATCAGGAATGTCTCGAAAATATCTCGGCGACAGGGACGCTCTTATCTTCACTCGGTTTCATTATCAATAAATCCAAGAGCGCCCTCACTCAAGCAAAATCGTGTCGTTTTTTGGGTTTTATTTTTGATACAGTTCGTTTCTCTGTCTCGATTCCTTCGGACAAAAGGCAAGGTCTCAAACAATTAACTCACTCTATGTTGGATAAGAAATCGTGTAAAATTCGATCCCTGGCTAATTACATTGGATCCCTAATCTCAGTCTGCCCAGCAGTCCAGTATGGCATCTTACATACTAAGATCCTAGAGAAAGTAAAATTTTCCAGCTCTCTTAGCCTCACAGGGCGACTTCGAGAGTGAAATGATCCTTCCAGACTCTATTAGAGAGGATCTTCGGTGGTGGAAGAACATTTTTTCGGATACCCTCCCAACGCAATTTTATTAGATCGGGCAACTTTAAACTGGAGATTTTTACAGACGCTTCCTTAACAGGTTGGGGTGCGGTCTGTGGCGAATTACGCACCCATGGTTTCTGGTCACCGGAGGATAAACAAAACCATATAAATTACTTAGAGCTTCTCGCGATTTTTCATGCATTAAGATGCTTTGCGGCGCATTTGAAGAATTGCGATATTTTATTGAGGGTAGATAACTCGACCGCGCTTTCTTACGTAAATCGCATGGGATCGGTCAAATTTCCTCATTTATCCGATCTCGCTCGAAAAATCTGGTCCTGGTGCGCGGATCGAAATTTATTTATTTACGCATCTTATATTCCGTCAGCTCAGAATATTGAAGCTGACACCGAGTCACGTACCTTTTCAGAAGAAACTGAATGGACGCTTCAGCAGGACTACTTCAATAGGATTGAGTCTGGTTTCGGCCCCTTTGATATTGATTTGTTTGCCTCATCAATCAACGCAAAATGCCCTCGTTTCGTTTCCTGGTTTCCAGACCCCCTAGCGGTCGCGGTTGACGCATTTTCACTACATTGGGGCAGCATGTACTTTTACGCTTTCCCCCCATTTATTTTAATTCTAAGGATCCTACGAAAGATTATTACTGACAAGGCAGAGGGCGTGGTCGTGGTCCCTTGGTGGCCGTGGTTTCCATTGTTCAAACGGTTTATTATTAACCATCCAATTCGTTTTGAACCGGACGTTAATTTGTTATCGTCCCCT